TCTAATATGTCAGTGTTGGTGGATGCCAAATGAGATCCTCGTGGGGTGAATGTTTTATGCTGTGACCTTTGGTGTTGTGGAGGATTTGGCTACTTTGGTTAGGTCACTTGTGAGTGTTGTTGGCCAGGTGATGGCAATAACGCTGAGGGGGGCTGAGCCACCCTCGATGTGATCATTGTGTGGCCATAGCTCTCCATTTTGTGGTTGGTCACTAGTATGCTTGCTTTACTGAACCTTGTGGATTAAAGTAACTTGTTGTGGTATAAGGCCACTTGTATGTGACCATTTGTGTAGTGGAGACAACAGATCACTTGGTTGTTGTTATTTGTTGTACCTGAAGGCTTCAGAGGAGCTTTTAATTTGTTTAGGGGTCCTAGAGGAACCCTTTTGAGGGAGGTGTTACATCCCTCTGCAGCCCCTAAACTGTTCAGCTGGTGCTAATTGGCCACACCTAGTCAGGTGTTGATAAAAGCATACCTGAGGCAGGCTTTCAGGAAGCTTCACTAGCCGTACCTTGGTGGTACCAGCCATGTTAGCCAACCTGCTATACATTTTAGGATTAAAACCTCTTCTCACCTACAATCTCGTGTCTTCTGGTCTCCTTATTTATGTTGCGTTTTTTGAGCCGGGTCGTAACAAGGACAAAAGGCGGAGACACAGCTGTCACTGGTTCTGTCACACATACAGACACTGGGGTTCTCTGTGAACTTTCAAAAGAACTCGCTAATCCCGAGTCAGCAGATTACTTTTCTTGGTTTGGAAATATACTCGCTTTCCAGCCACACACGTTTGTCGGAGCACAGAGTGGCCGCGTTTCATTGCTGCCTCACTCAGTTTCAGCTGGGACACAGACTGCGTTTCCAGACGATATTACATTTGTTGGGCATGATGGCATCTATGATCGCCGTAGTGCCACTTGGACTGTTAAAGATGAGAGCGTTTCAACGCTGGACTCTCTCTCACCTGTGCGCATCGGGTCACCTCCGGAGGAGGCTGACGGTAACCGCGTCTTGCATGCTAGCTCTGTCCTTGGAGGGAGCCCGGGCTGCTGCATCAGCACTCTCGGATTGGGAGGGTGTGTTTCGTAAGGTGGTGTCCACAGATGCTTCCCTAAGAGGGTGGGGAGCGCTGTGCGAGGGTGCATCAGTGAGAGGGATCTGGTCCGCAGCCCAGCACCAGCTGCACATCAACCACTTAGAGCTGTTAGCAGTGTTCTTAGCTCTAAAGCATTTCCGTCCAGTCCTGGAGGGCCAACATGTCTTAGTCAGGACGGACAATTCAACAGTGGTGTCTTACATAAACAGGCAGGGAGGAATACGCTCTCTTCCCCTGTTGAAGCTGTCTCGCTCTCTGCTGTTGTGGTGCAGTGTTCACCCACATTCAAGGCCACCTGAACTTGGGGCTGGACCTTCTCCCCAGTGGGGTCCTCTGGTGAGAGAATGGAGGTTACATCCTTTAATAGTGGCTCAGATTTGGGATCTATTTGGCAAGGCGCAAGTAGATTTCTTTGCCTCCAGGGTAAATACTTACCGCCCCCTGTTCTTCTCCATAATTGACCACAATGCACTTGGGCATGGATGCACTAGTGCACCAATGGCCAGACATGCTCCTGTATGCATTTCCCCCAGTGGAAATGATATCTCCAGTTCTAGAGAGAGTGCGTCGGCAGTCTCTCTCTCTGATTCTAGTGGCCCTTTGGTGGCCCACAAGGTCGTGGTATGCAGAGATAATCAGCCTGCTAGCAGCGAGTCCTTGGCAGTTTCCTCTCCACAGGGATCTCCTCTCAGGCAGGAGGAGAAGTGATTCATCCGCGCCCGGATCTGTGGCGCCTTCATGCTTACCTGCTGAGAGGTTAAACTTGATTGCTAAGGGTTTGCCCACCTAGTGTGATAGCGACAATTCAGAGCACTAGGGCCTCATCTACTAGAGGCTTGTGTGCTTACAAATGGCGAGCCTTCGAGCAATGGTGCCAGGACCGCCACACTCTCCCATTTCAGTGCTCTATTGTGGATGTTTTGACATTCCTGCAGGAGCTGCTGGATAAGGGCCTTTCATTTTCGACAATTAAGGTTTATTTAGCAGCTATATCTGCTTGTCATATTGGCTTTGACAGGGTGACACCAGGTGCACATCCCATTGCCATACATTTTCTGAAAGGGATTCGCCGGCTGAGATCCGTGCTTAAGTTCAGTGTCCCTGCTTGGGACTTGTCTTTGGTGCTAGAGGCCCTTTGTAGACCCCCGTTTGAACCCATTGAGTCTGTGGATATGAAATTTCTTTCATATAAGACTGCATTACTTCTTGCTTCGGCAAAGCGAGTGGATGTTCTTCATGCGCATCCATGTGCATCCCTCCTGCACACAATTCTCGTATTGCGTCCAAATGCTACCTATTTTCCCAAGATCATGCCTGCAGCTCTAAGTGGTTGAGATCCATCCTTTTGCATCTGAGGAGCAGAGGAGGATGCATTCTCTTTGTCCAGTTCATGTGCTATGCACCTACATTGAGCATACTCAGAATGTGCGTTTATGTGACCAGCTGTTTGTCTGCTTCGCTAATCCAACTAGAGGTAGAGCTCTGTCTAAACAGAGGCTGTCCTGCTGGATTATAGAAGCTATCTCACTGGCGTACAGCACCAAAGGTCTTGCTTTGCCCCAGGGAGTGAGAGCTCATTCCACCAGGGGGATGGCAACCTCATGGGCTCTTTTTAAAGGGGTGCCTGTAGCTGATATTTGTACAGTAGCTAGTCTGGCATCACCGCAGACTTTTGTGTGGTTTTATCGTTACAGCCCCTTTGGTGGCTCAAGCTATCCTTTCTGCTGGGTCTACCGCACACTAAGGTGGTGGTGGTCCGATTCCGGTTCGGTGGCTGCTCTGCGGGGTGTATATATGTCCCATACTTATGTGTTGTACCGAGTGAATTGACTGAAAGGGAACGAATAGTTATGTCTATAACTTCTGTTCCCTGAAGGAGAGGAACAAGGTACAACACAAGGTTGCTCCACTGAGCAGTTTGGCTCGGTGAAGAGCGGCTATCGAGCTGACGGATGACTGTGATGACAGAAGTTAAAGACATAACATAACATAACTGACTACGGTAGCCATAATTCATCGAGCGTTGCGGCTTCGTAGCTTATCAAAGTCGTACTAAGACATTTTTTGATAGATTTTTGAGCAGCGTGTACCACATAAAATCAGTTCGAGGTCACTAAGCACAACCAGAATTCATACTTAAGGCACACCGGCGCACAGTCAGTTTTTGAGAAAAACTAAAGGATTTTAAGTAAGCGGAAAATACGGTACTTTTTCATATGATTGTTTAAGGTTTTAGCTAGTAAATTGTAGCTGGTTATTTTAGCTCAAGATCAAGTTTGAAAATGGAGAGAAACACGAAAAAGGTCACTTATGAACTTGTTCCAGATTTCTTCCTAATTTGCCAAAATCCTAAGCAGTTTGTGGTTTATCAGAGAGGGCTTGTGGAGTCATGTGTCTGAATTTTTCTTAGCCGGGACAGTAACTTCTTTAGAGCATATTGGTTGTCTGGCATTCTTCCAGTGTCAACAAAAAATAAAAAAGTTATTATTTCAGACTAAAAAGTAGTCTGGCACAAAATTCATCAGTATATATATATTTTGCTTGTGGCTAGGGTTTGTCTCCAGCCCTATCCATGTCTGCGCTAAACAAAGCTAGTCAGCTGCTGGAGGTGTTTTCATAACTAAGATACAGTACACACAAAAGAGCGCCATCAATCTTTCATCTGGTTTAAAGATATTGTTTTATCCCTGTGTAGGGCCAGAACTGTAGCTTTAAGTTGTCGATTATGTTATGACAAAATAAGTCGAGCACCTGCCTCTGTAAAGACGTTCAGGGGGATTTATCTTTGACCCCAGTAACATTCCAATATCTGGATGTCACAAATTCTTTTTGGGTGAAACAAAAGTAAATCCACACTTTATTAGTCCCGCCAAATGCAAATCATTAAGTTTCCCTTTCCTGGATTCCCATGGAGAGCATTTAATAAAACTCTTATTTGATGACCTGATAGCATAAAAATGTTGCATGATGCATTGATTTGGCTGACTCAGATGGGTTTGTTGCCATATGGCTAAAATAAGTGTCAACAGAAGAGCGGCTCCCCATCGTCACACATTTGATGGACTGATTAACGTTCACACCATAAAAAAGCTGGTAATACTTCCTGTATTTAGCAAAGAAAAAGAAAAGAAATTCATGAACAACAATCACATTACTTGGTAAACTGGATTAACTATTTTAAAAATGGATCAAGTAAACTGTACAATACTAATAAGCTTGAAAGTCGGTATTTGCCATGATCCCCTTTACTCTTCAGCACATCCTGAATTCTCCCAGCCAGCCAGTCTTATATGATCCCACACTGAAACAATAAAGTTGAGGTCCAGGCATAGTGCTCCATTGTGTGTTATTCTATCCAGGTATGCTTTTACAGCATTGGCAGTGTATTTGAGGTCACTTTCATGCTAAAATTAAAGCCACTAAAACATTTTACAGAGGATATTGCATGGTGGATCAACATCTGACTGTATTTTTTCTGCATTCGTAATTCTATTCATTTTGACTAGTCCCCCAACACCACTGGCTAAAATACAGCCCCAAACCATTACAGAGCCTCCACCGTGTTTTACAGATGACCGTAGACACTCACTGTTGTACCTCTCTCCTGATGTCCTCCATACATCCTGATAAAGACTTGTTTATGTCAAATTTGGATTCATCAGACCTGTTGCTGCTGATTTTCAGTCCAGTTCTTGTGTAATTTGTCATAACTCAGCCTTTTCCTTTGGAAATCGCAAATCACACAATTATGACAAATCTTAGCCACATGGCAACAAACCCATCTGAGCCAGCCACCCGTCCATTGTGTGTATTTCTGATTTGGCTTCAGTGAACATTAGATGGATGAACTGCAGGTCCAGATGCATCTCTCAGGTCCTGTGTCAGGTCTCTGATGCATTTTGTCCTTCTGTCCTTCACTTATCCAGTTTCCTCCAATGTTTTAAGAACATACTGTGCACCATGCTATCATATGCCAAGTCTTTGGCCAATAACTCTTTGGAAATCAAGCTGTTGGTGCAAAAATACTATTTTATGCCAAACTGTTATCTTTGGCAACTAAAGAAATGGGAACAAATCATGCGTTTACGTGACAGGCTGCAATTAACAAAGTGCCTAAAGATACAATTTAAAGTGCAAAGTTGTCTGTTATCTGTAAACACAATGCTCATTCATCCCTTGAGTTAGGTGCATTTTTTTTCCATTACTGAAAGACTCATACGACAGTGTTAAATGGCTTTACAAAAAAGAAAATTGACTAAAAAAGGCGGAGATACAAGGACTGAAAATGACTGTAAAAGCAGCCAATGTCCAAGGAAAACGTTTGAAAGACCTCCAGAAACCCTGGAGAACTATTGCTTAAGACCACTATAATAAAATTCCAAGAAAGCCTGGCTCCTTGGAATCAAAATATAAAGAAATGTGGAGAGGCTTGAGAATTTGCACTCCATACATACTGCCAAATGTGGTGAACAAAAGATACAAAAGTGGAAAGATTTCTAATTGTGATGACGACATGTATTTTGAGAGCTTCTCTTTGCTTTCAGCTCAAGTTTTCCAGTGTCTGGGTTTCAAACATGAAGGCATGTGCTGTCCTGTTTTTGTAATCACCGCAGCCTGCAGCAGCAAATGGGATTCAAATCTGCCCAGCTCCCTTTCCAGACTCCTGACTATCTAGCAACTTGGAATGCTGAGTTAAAATGTTTAAATGAACACAAAGTTAGCATTTTCACTGATTATATAATTGGACTTTATAATGGAACATGCACTGCATTTGTAATGTAATCCACTCCAAAAATATGGCATGCTGTGCAGTGAGGTACAACAGCCAGTCTAACAGTTCTGTGTTTTAGTTAAAGGGAGTAAAATGCTACAGTCTTATTTTGTGTTGGTATAATACAGCCATACAGTCTATGGATACACGTACATAGAAGAAGTTGATAAGTTAGCACTCAACACCTCATCCAAGTATTGAAGGCATTCATGTGACAGCACATGAGAAACTGCTAAAGTAATTATTGGCTCCAAAATACCAAGATGGCAATGGTCACTTGAGCCTTGAGGCTTCCAAAAAGGAGTTTACAGTGGGTGACAATCATTTATATACAGTCTAAGAGTGAAAACTATGTGCCTTTTCAAATATTTGCTTGTAATCCAAAGTTAAAAAACCTGGGAAGGGTTTTCGCAGCACAGTTATCAGCGAAGTCTGCAGCACAGTTTGATAGGTTTGTGGTTTTAGATAACAATATTTAACCTGTCCATTTTCATTATTATTCTAAAAATAATGTTAGTAAACAAATTATGAATATAGAAATAGTCATTAAATGCATTTAAAATTTTGTTAGTAGTTTTTTTTAATTGAAATACTGTACATCTTTACATGACATCCAAAACCAGCACGCTGACATTTGGCGAGAGAAACTAAAGAACAAGAGAGGCAAAAAATTAGAAAGTGTAACCAAACACGTCAGATCCTGTCATGTGCTACGTCTCTTTTACAGTCTGAGAAAATAAAAAAAATAAAAAAACATAAATTATGTGAAAAAGCCCCCCCAAAAACTGTTTTTTAAAAATCTGCTAATATTAAAAGGGTCCATTAATAAAAGAAAAAAAAAATCAGCATTCATCTGGTTGGTGAAAAATCCATCAGCAGAGCAGCTGAACCCACGCACAGATGACTGCATAAGGCCTTTATTTCAGGAAATCTCATGTGGATCCTCAATCCTCCGGAAAACTGCAAGAAAATTCTTTCCTCCATTTCTCTGCACTTTCTTTCCTTCCTCTGTGCAGGTACCCAGACGACTTATGATGACATCATCAGCCTGCCAAAAGAGGATTTAGGATTGAATCACATCTAATGGTACAGCAGACCAAAACGTGCACTTTCTGACACTGTTCAGTAACTTTTTTTTAGCAACTTATTCTAACATACAAATCAACTTACCACCATTCTGCGCTTTTCTGATCAATAATAGAAAATTTACGTTTCTTATTTAAGGAAACAGTGCAATATTTTCTATTCCCCCCCCCCCCCCGAAAAACTATTTCCTATTTCATATCCTACTTTTGACTACTTTGCTCGAGTGAGCAGCTGAACACCAAATGCTGATGTCATGACCTGCAAACACAGCGATGCAAAGCATGTCAACGTACCAGTTCTTCATCGAGGACCCGCGTGAACAGTGGATGTTCACTGAAGTGCTTCACCATCCAGAGGTGGACTTCCTCCACATCTGTGATGGTATATACCAAACCCTGACACAAACAGACAAACACACAGAGACCATTAACACAGCTCTGAGAAAAATACTAAAACTTTGCTATTTACTGATATGAACCCATTTATCAAAAAACAAACACACTCACTGCACTGATGAAAAAATAACAAACACATATACGAGTCTCTTTTTTTTGACACTGTCAGACATTTCAGACCTGCAGTTAGTTATATGGTTTCATCACCTTTGGAGAGCAATTTATCTCTAAAGATAAAAATAACCTAATGCCAACACAGAGGTGAATCACCTGTGTCAAGGTAGTTTACTTTGGAGACCGTGCTGATAAAATTACTAGAACTTGGATTTCTTTGAACACTTTGAAAAGGCACAGATTTCCACACCAGTGCATGTCAGCACGTATGTGTCTTAATTTCCAGAAAAAAAAAAAAAAAGCAGGGTGAGGGACGCCGTTTTATCCTGCCGTTCTGACAATACCCAAGATTTAAAACTTAGTCACAACTTAAAATTAGACTTGTTTTGGTTTGAAACTGCCTCTACAAATGAGCGCACACTTGACAGCCTCCGCTCCCACCGGCAGTTCTGGCTGCGAGCCAACGCTGAAGGCCCTTGTAGAGTTTGCACGCATACCTGCGCACACACAACGTATGTATGCACACGTGCATCAATGCGCACACACACACAACGGAGGAAAAAGGATACATTTAGACACAAGCCTTCCATTGTTCCCCACAACCTCCATCAGCGTTCACCCCCAGTGTCCCACTGCTGCCTTGACAGCTCTGAGAGGCAGGACTTGGGTGTATAAACCAGTTGTAGGCCACACCGGTTCCCACATTTTATTTCCTGTGAACTCACAGGTTTGTACACAGTTCAATTATGTAGGAAAGTAGAAGAAATGGTAGTTTAACTCTCAACTGTGACCGATGGTAGGGAAAAAAATATTATTGCATATATGGAAAAACACTTACAGTAATGATACAAGCTAAACCACACTGTTTTAAGTGGTTATTGTAGTGATACACTATCAATTTCCACTGTCAACAAATTCCATTAAAAGCTCCAAACCATCAGTGAACTCAGCCTATTAAAGCAGGATTCATGGTAGTGCATTTGTATAGGTTTGCGTTGGTGTTTGGATATACAGAGTGAAGGATTATGGGTATACAACCAACAAAACATATACAGAGCCTAAGTGGGCTTGAACAGAAAGGGCAGCAACAGTAGAGTTTACCGCAGAGAGAGATGTTTTCAACATTGTTAACACTCCAGGGCACGCGGAAGGACCAACAGGAAGCAAGAGTAGCCCACAGACGTCTTTATTTACACATTTTTGACTATGCCCCCCGGTGACAGTAACACAGTACAACATGGAGATGGCGGTCTGCAAAGCTGGGCAGCTCACCGTAGGATCAACGCACAACTACGCTGGTCTCTCAACAGCTGTTGTGTTTATCCAAAGACATACGTGAACCATACTGCAGCACTGAAGAAAATGTTACTTTAACTGAAGCTCAGCGCTAATGCAGTAGCCATTCTGACTGTGCATCAATCTGAAATTTCCTTCTTTTCATACACATTTCAGTAAAAATGACAACCAATCAACATTTCTTTACTCCAGGTGACTGAAGCAGAAAAAATGTGTTTTTTATGTTTGTTGTTCATAGTTTATCTGAAGCGATAAAATTTTTTGTGCATTTCCAATTTTAAATGATAAGCAAGAAAACTGAATAGTTATTTTATAATTTACTATCAGGTACAAGTGAGAAATGTAATGCAAAGCTCAGCACAGAACCCTAAGCTATGTATTTTTTCCACTCAATTAAAAAAAGCATAGATTTTATCTTTGGAGTCCGACCGATATCTAAGTTGATAGTTTCTATTTGTTGATTCATTGGTATCTGCATTTATAATGGCCTGTTGCCCACCTAAGGGCACTCTACAAATTCCCTGTTGGCAACACGTTTTCGGAACGCCACATACACGACAACCCGCTGATCCAAGCGGTGTCGAGCAGAGCGTCAGTGAGCAATCCAACTTATTGTAGCAATAAAAAAAGATTATGTTTAAATGCAATTATCATATCATCTTAATAAGAATTCATAAATAACTACATATAACAAATCTGTTATGTCTAAAAGCAAAAAAAACAAAACAAGCATTAGCTGTTATATCAGATTCTCTTACATCCCTAAATATCGGTATTTGTCTTAAATATCCGATATCGGTCAGGTTTTAATTACATTGAAAGAAAACTGGAAGAAGGACAATGTTTTACATTTTTGTCTGATAAATGATGCATTTATGTTCACTAAAAACTTGGAATAAGCATAACTCAAATACATACCCCTACTCTGAGCGTGTAGGCGTATTCTGCCAACAGAGTGGGACTAATGATCCTCCATTTGTGCTTGGTCTTCTTAAAGTGAGGGTCAGGGAAGAGGAAGAACATCTTAGTGAGCTGAGAGACAGAAACAACACGGTAACAGTCACACAAGCAAGGACCAAACAAAGTGTAGGTAGTTTTATTCAACTATATTTAGCCATGCAACACAACAAAAGGTGAGCAAATCTGGCCCCCATAATATGCTGTTGAATTTTACGCTGAGGATTGAAAAGTGGAATTTCCCTCCTTGATTTTTTCCCCCCTTTTCTTCCCACAAAGTTCCCCGTGTCTCCGTCCTTGACAAGTGTACAAGTGCAGGCTCTGTTCATATTTGTCTGGCTGATATATTAAAAATACTTCCAGTCACTTTTTATTAGTTAAAATAAATAACATCAGGTACAGACAGAGAGTTGTGGGGATAATCACCGGGGACGGCTACAGCCTCAGGGGCTCCTTCAGTGCTGACAGAAGGTGGAAAAACCTTCAAAGAACTGAATTATTTTTGGGTTACAAAACACACCAACAAGAGGGAGGAAACAAAGAGATTGAATCTTTTAGAATACACTGTTCCGACACTTGAAACACGGCGTGCATGTGGGAAGGATTGTGGCTAGATTTCCATTTCTAGTCTGGGTGGTCTTCACTTAATACTGTCACTTTAAAATTTGAATGATTTTGAGCCTATTGTAAGAAAAGGTAGACACCCAACGTTAAAGGAGGATGCAGCTGCACTGTTCAGCTCTGGGAAAAAAAATATGAGCCAAGAGGTATTAATGCTTAGAGGCACTGAAGCTCTGCAAAGTTGCTCTTAGCACTGTTCAAAGCCCCAACTCTTTCCAGCATGTCCTATTATTTTAAATGACCTGAAATTGCACACTAAAATATAAATACATTAAACAAATGTGCATGTTTCTATATGAAACACCTTCATGATTTGTGCTCCATAAACGTGTCACTGTTACGCCTCTTTTTCCTCCTTTAGTTGATACCCACACAGGGCATTTGAGGTGAATTTTTTTATGCAGGATACCTGAATGAACCCTGGTACACTAAGCCCACTGAGCAGTCTAATGCGGGTTTCAACAAGTCAGAGCGCTGCAGCTAATTGGGCCGGATAAAAGGCGTCTCGCTCAGCTGATGTGATGTCAGTCAATGACCCCATTGTTGTGAAATCCCTGGATTTATTGGACCTTGTATAAATTAATTCAGTCCATATGTTGAACACGTGCATATTCTTATTACCTTGGCATGTCCAGCACAGACGTCAGTTTAACGTTTTTAAAGCCCACGTTGGCTGAGCCAATTAAAAAAAAAAAAAAAAAAAAGGTCAGGTTTGTATATGTGCTCTAATTCAATAACCTGCACATAATCATATCAATGCTGGCCCTATATATCAGGTAGGTGCATGTGGTTTTTCCTCTATTCAGAAAATGCATTAGTGCCACAAAAATGGTGCCGCAGTCATATTCTTTAGGTTTGCTAGAGAATTGTAGAAGCTAAAATGAGCCGCAAGCATTGAAGCGCAACAGAACCTGTAGTAGATTTTTGCAGCTGATGCTGATATTAATTTTTTGGGAGTATTTATATGCCAGCTGGTAAATATCCACACAAAGAAAGAAAGAAAGAACGTTTTTCTATTTTTGCCTCTGTACACCACCACAAATTTAAATAAGGCAACCGATATGTGACTGAAGTGCAGTGTTTCAGCTTTAATTTAAGGGATTTAACAAAAATAGGAATTACATTTATTTATATACACAGAGACTCAAAAATAATTGGCTGATGAGCAGCTTAATTTCTATGTGAGGCCTGTTTTCCCTGTTATTTTGTGACAAGTGAAGCAGACAGAATGTCTTAAGTTGATTCAAAGTGTTGAATTTTTATGAGCGCTAAAGAAATACCAGTGAGGGAGGTTATCATTAGGCTGAAAAGCTAAAATAAACCCATCAGAAAGATAGAGATAAACTTCAGGAGTGGCCAAATCAACAATCTGGTGCATTCTTAAAAAGACTGAATGCACTGGACAAGCTCAGCAACAATGAAAGACCACAGAAGACGACTAAAGCTCATGAGGACAGAATTATTTCCATGGTTTAGAAAAACAACTTCCCAGAATGATGGAAGGAGAAACGTACGGAGATTGAGAGAAACTGCTCATGATCCGAAGCATATCAGTCTAGTGTTTCTTGATGACGTGACTGCTGACAGAACCAGCAGGATGAACTCATAGCAGAGCATCTCAAGGGAGAGAACACAGAATTTGGTCATGTCTGAGAGATTTACACTTCAAAAATCCCATTTAAAGTCACGCTAGTTTGTTCAGTTTATTTTAAGTGTCTGAAAATGAGGATGACGCATACATACGTGTAACTCCTAAACAGTTAATGCAAACTTTTTGTTAAACCTTAAAAATCTGCACTTCATTCACATCTTGATGGTCTGATTTAAGTGTAAGAACTACATATAAACTGTGTTATAGATGAATGCCGCACCGCAGACACCGACATCCAGTGTTATTATCTTATTCGAGAACTGAACATTTCATTTTAAATGTGTTTGATATTTGGGGAAAGGTATTCTAATTATATATGTCAAATGTGTTTGAAATGCTTTTAATTTCTTTAAAAACAAAAGTGAAAAACTGCGACTGATCCAGAAGTGATTTCTAACATTTTGCATTATGTTTGATTGAAGCCAGCCTGAGCCAGCTTTGGAAATTTAAGAGTTCTAATACGAATTCCAACAAAAAGCTCAATTAAACCAAATTAATAATGTTCCCTTTTTAATTTCTTAAATCACACTGCTGCCTTATAATGCCCTCATACTTAACCATTTTCACTAATCCATTTTATGCGGGTAAGAGACCAAGAACATTTTTTAGGGGACTAATCTGCAGCATTTTTGTGAGCTCAAAGCAAAATATTTCTGCAGGAATTACTGAGCGAGTTAAGCCAAAAGACACCTCTGCCGTGCTGATTCATTAAACAGCAGTAACCCACCTGTCCTTTACAAAAGAAGTTGGGGAGGTACTTCATGGCATTGCTACGAATGCAGGCGATGTTCTGGTAGCTCGCTGGATTTGAGGCACGCAGCGACTGGATACGATCCTGAACATAATCTGACACTTTCACCCGGATCTCCATACCCAGGATGAGCTTATCTGGGAAGAGTGGAGATAACTCCACTGGAGTGCAGAGAAAATAAAGACACAAACATGATGTAGATTACGGAGCAATAAAAGGCTGAATGTGGTCTTTATACACAGGCTGTGTGTAGTACCTAAAAGCCCCCCATATCCACATCCAATGTCAGCAAACTCGACTCGAGGGGGCTCTGTCTCACTCAGGCTGCCAGTGAATAAGTCTGGATACAGCTTGGACCAGTCCATTTTATCAGGACACACAGGGCTGAAGAGGAGGAGGAGAAAGTACATCACTATAAATAGTTTTCAATTAAATCGTATTCTGCGGAAGACAGACCCCTTTTGAAAATAAAGGATCCATCAGCAGCGATCCTCTATTTCCTGTTTCTTTTATGTTATCTGTTTGTTTTATTCTCATACCAATCCAAACACTCAGAAACACCTAATCGTGCTCACAGAGAGCCGTGCACATGGAGCTCACTCACTAATCAAAGGTGTGGTGCGCCATCGGGTTTGAATGGGCTCGCTGTCTGTAGTAACGCTTCTGCGGCATGGACGAAGCCATGATGGATCAAAGGAAAGATGTTAATGCCGACGATATTCAGGATGTTCACCCAGTTATGAACAAACTGCCGGAATCTGCGCTCGCTCACGCTTGTTTCCACTCAGTTTGTTAGTCGCAGGGTTCTTTCGTCATCACCAAGCGTCCGCTCGGGGTTGCCAGGTTTGCTGATACCGGCTGAAAAACTCAACATTACAGTTTCTTTGTTTTCAAGTGATTTGTGTTGTTTTTAATGTTTACTGATCTATTACAGAAACCACAAAAATATGTAAACAAATTTTACCTGCACAAAGATAAACGTAAAAATACAACTCCTCCCTAGTTGTAGGATGGATGAAATTACCTTAAAGTTCTGTTTCTCTTCATGCATTCTGCAGTTATGTGGCTATATATAGGGTATCAGAAAATTCTGCCTCTGACCCAATGGGAGCTGATCCTCAATCTTGGAATTTTAAACGTTCCTCAGTATCTTAGCTGTTCCTTGGTCTGCTGTCTTCTGCACAGAAACCTCGGATGTTGTGCGTGGAATCTTTTAGAATCTTATCTTCCAGTTTCTGGGTTTGATCTCCTAGTGCTCCCATTACTACTGGGACCACTTTTGACTTTGTCTTCTACATCTGCATCAGTGGTTCCTTCAAGCCCCTAGTACTTCTCTGTTCTCTATGCTGTCCACTGGGATGGCCACATCTATCACAGCTGTGGTCTTCTGCTCCTTGTCAGCCACCACTGTGCCTGGTCGACTCGCCAGCAGCTGCTTGTCTGTCTGGAAGTCCCACAGGATCCTAGCACCTTTGGTGGTGTCTCCCGTATGTGGCAGAGATGTTCTTGTACACTATCTCAGCCACACAGCACCTTTGTACAATCTGAAACTTGGGTGCAGCTGGCTGTGGTAGACCCCTGCCTTTATAGATCTGATTCTTAGGGGCCACATGTATTCAGTCAGAATGACATCCAAATGTCTTTACTGTGGATCCTGGTGGGCTGGACAAGGGACTGGTGCGATTTGCCTTGGAGTGTTGTTTTCCACAGTCCCAATGAATTCCATTTTGGCCCTCTGGTGTTATTTCAAATGCCTTGCTGAGCTGTGTTCATGTATTGACTCATGTGCCTACTCAGTTTACTCAGTTTGGTTAGCACATTTTTTTAATATTAGGATTTTTACTGACAATTGAACGTTTAAAGCATCAAACAGTCAGATCTTTGTTTCCTAAATTGAGACGAGACAAAACCTAGAAAATAAAATGTGACATTCTATGCACTTTTAACACATCCTAAAGTTTTATTGGGCATTTTCTTGACTTATCCATCAGTTCAACTTTAAGTGAAAACAGCACAAGTTACCAAGATCATGGCAAACCCTCAGACATACACAGAAACATTAGAAGGGGAACTGCTACAGTGGTCATACGTAGAAGCACAATCATTATCACCATCAAACTCTCACTTACGTTGTCAAATCCTAATCAACCTTAAAAACAAATCCAAATCCAACTTTTTCTTTTCTTTTCTAAGTAAAACAAACTTGTTTGGTTACATTTTGAAACCTTAGTCATAGTGTTAAAAATGGTTACTTGCTTTAAGAAAGAATCTGTTCAAAATCATTTTTTTTCTCAATTCACAGGCTTCACATTTAAAGTCTCAAATAAAAACTTCAAGTTTCTCACAAAATAGGTAATACTCATCCTTAACTCCAGCAGAATCTGAGAAGGAAATATGAAAGTGGAAGTTCACGGCAGTGTTTATATGGCAGATTGGGATTTTATTTAATTAAACCCCAATCAACACTTTTCTCCTCCTTAAACATTACAGCACTTTAGTCAGCTTCATACGGTGGTCACTCTCATGACCACCTCATGGTTGCTGCTGTGCAAGTTGTTGGGTCTTAGCTGGCTAAGGAAATGTAAAACAGTGTAGCCACAGTGGTGGTTGAGAATAGTCCTGATATGGCGGTTTGCCCTCCGGCTGCTGTCTGTGACAGTGTGAGAAGAGTTCCTCTCTACTCGAACAGTGCTTTTGCTGCTGGAACTGATGGGGTCCCCTAAGTCCTTTGCTTTGTCATAATTCAGCACTTTCCACTTCTGGTTCACCGCCTGCCAGCGCTTAAAGATCCGGTAGACAGATGATCCTTCGTGGATTATAAGGCCTGCATGTGAAGTTCAAAGGCAAGAAAAGAAATGTTACTGTAGGCATTTAAGGATGTAGAATGTTTCTGTCCTCATCTGTGTTTGTGTGCAAACCAGAACATGGTGTGCGATGTGTGCTACAATTCCCAGGTTAACTGACATGTCTCCTTGGAATAGTGTGCAGCGGTGGGCAACAGGCTTTGAAATATGTGTGCTCTCATGTGGTGTGTGTGTAAAAAGTGTTATCCTATTGGCAGTGCCATGTATTGGAGTCTGAAAGATTTATCAGAGGGCCAATCTTAGCAGCAGGCTGTTATTTCTGGCCAATATGGCGATGCTGATCTATCAATGTCTGAATTTATAACAGCTGATAAATAAAAAATTTAAAGAGTAAATAAGTGACAGGAGAAACACCAGTCCACTATGTCATGAGTGTTAATGTTGCGTAGTTTGTCCACTAGAAGGCACTTCCTGTCAACTTCCAGCAACAATAACCAGCTGATCAGAGCAGAGGCGGGCTGAGCATAAACAAGTATAGCGGCCTGAGAACCAGCCTATTCATTTATGTCCTCTGTAATGGACATTTGTTTTTGGTCTAGATATCTTTTGACTTATTTGAGCTACCCTACTAAGTCCTGATCCACTAAATAGAGGACATCTTCCATTGATATCTCATGTGTTTGGGCCTCTTTTAGCTCCAAAGAGGAAGGAAATCACACACAAAAAAATTAATTTGGAAGATCCCTTTTTCCTTGGTTCTCAGGAGGATATATCAGAATATTTTATATCACCAAATATTGGTATTGGTTTCTGTCTCAAAAATTCTATATCATTCAGGCTCTGATATAAACCCTGCTGTATTACAAAGGCAGCACACTCAGTGTAATACCTGCGTGTCAGACCAGAGTGTTCCTCTCACCATTGTCTGAGTACAAAAAGTTTTAAGGCAAACTCTTTCAGTTTTCTTCAGTGTGAAATCCTAGTGTTAACTTCATCCTCTTTGTGCTCCAGATTCGCTTCATCTCCCTGCAAGCCCCTGATCCTCTTTGGTCTGCCGGCCCTCCATCAGACCTTCATTCTATGTGGCCAAAGCCATTCAGGGACATGCTCTGCTACAATTCAGATCTAACAACGCTAACTTTTTTTATATTAAAGCCACAAAAGCATCTATTCAAAATGTATTTGGTTTTATTTACAAACCTAACAAGAAGCAATCTTAATATTGGGGATGATTGGTTTCCCTTTAAAAAGGAAGTAAGCAACCATATTAAATTACTTGTTATAAGGTAAGTTTGGATATGGTAACTGAAAAAAACCCCCAACATAAAATAATGTATCTTACAGGATGTAGTGCAATTTTGTGTAATTATAGGGAATATACTTTTTGAGCCCCTCAAAAAACTGATTGTCATTCACATAGCTTGGAAATCAGTGATTCTTTGTGTATAATCATGTACAAAGGTTTGTGATAATTTTTGATACAATAGTCACCAGACTGCAAAAGATGAAGCTATTAAACAGCAGCTGTAGCAGGTTTTGAAACTACCTTAAAAATCAGTGCAAGTTAGAATTAGACTCTGTATGTACTCTAGCCAAAAAAGTCACACATTCTAATATTTCACTGAACCGTCTTTAGCTGTAATGCATGCATTTGTCTTGGCATCGCTTCAACAAGCTTATGCAGTGTCACAACATTAATTTTCAACCTGAGTTGCGTTAATTGTTCACCAAGATTTTGTACTTATGAGGGAGTCGGACCGCTGCACAAAGTGTTCTCCAGCACATACACAACATGATCAGTGGGGTTAAAGCCTGGAATCCATGGTGGCCAGTCCATGTGTGAAAATGATATTTAATGTTCCCTGCACCACTCGTTCACAAGAAACCCCAGCAACACTTGGGCAGGCATTACACTGCCCCCACAGGCTTGGACGGTATTAGGCATGATGGTTGCATCACTTCATCCCTTGTCTTCTTATCCTGATGCAATAAGAGACAACACGACCCTTTTTCATTGCTCCAGAGTCCAATCTTTATGCTCTATAGGCAAATAGAAGCCTTTTTTTTCTCCACTGATATGTGGTTTTCTTAAGGCTGCACAGCTGTTTAGTCCCATTCCCTTGAGTTCTCTTCACATTTTGCTTCTGGAAACACACTCTTGCTTTCATCAGTAACCATAAACAAAGCTGCAGGTTCTACTGTTGATTTGCTTTACAATTTGATTTCACTAAATATTTAAACAATCTCTGACCGTTTGATCATTCGAGTTTTCTTTTCTGACCATATTTGTTCCTCGAAGTTGATGGTAGTAATGCCGTGCACCGTTCTTAATATGATTTCTGTAGTTATAGTAAGTAAATTTTAGTAGCTTGATGCAGGCCAATAATTCAACCCATCTTTTTCACGACAACGGCAACCTGTTGCCAGCCCAAACATATAAATCACTGTAGTAATGATCCAATGGAAAACTCCTAAAGTACCTATTTACTTAGATAAACCAAACTGTTGCCCTTTTTTGGGAACCTTGCAGTGTATATGGACTCACGACAAATTACTTAGAATAATCACCAAAAGATAAATTCTAATAAATTATTGGGAAATTGCAGAGTTGTAAGATAAAAAGTCAGATTATGCAAGACTGGCACTCAGTTTGATGACATTTACACCAAGTGTGAAATATATAATAACGAATATGTGGCCGCCGTAGTATCTGTGTCTTACCTATGCAAACTATGTCCATGAAGCCGTACATGCCGTAGCATATCTGGAAGAGAAGGTCCTGCCGTTGCCATTTGGCTGAGGGGCTGAGAGAGGACCAAACCAACCAGGAAATACTTGCGATGAGGAACAGAGAGCCGAGGATAATGGCTGCAATCTGTACCTTCTCAATCACAGTCAGAGAGATGGCCTGCCACTGGATACAGACACAAAAACTGAATGAAATTGTTTTTCAGATAGAAACTGCAAACTGCTTCTTGATTATGTGAGATAATAGCACAGAGTTTGAATCGTTGCCGTACATCTAAAGAGGCCCTGGTTTTTTATCAGCACATATTTCCCAGATGGTTTCTGTGATTTCTGGAGCATAATCACTGAATCTCACAGGCAATAACAGCAATTGTGTTTTGCAGGTTTGAAAGTGGATTTGAGGATAATCCGATCTCCATAATGAAACTACAGACTCTTCTCTGCTGCACCTTTTTGAAAGAGAATAAATTACTGGAAACAAAATTATTCTTCGTAAGTTTCATTATCTCTTCTCTTTTTTGTCCTGCTACAAAAGAAAACTCAAAATTTGTCAAAATTGGAAGCATGTCTACTCCTGATTCTGACTGTAACTAATCATAACTACGGTACTGTGGCATTTATTAATTTGTCATGTATTAGCCAGTATGGAAGAACAGTAATGATGGCACATTCTCCAACGTAGCATACGGCGTCTCTCACACAGAAAAAGGACACAGGTCGAATATGTTCTGTCATTTCCTTCCCCTGGCCCCAGACCAGTCAAGGCAGATGGCTGCCCCTCCCTCACTCCGGTCCTGCCGGAGGTCTCATCCTGATAAAAAGGAGATCTTACTTTCCGCCTCTGCCAAGTGCTTGCTCACAGGAGATCATCAGATTATTAGAGTTTCCTTTCTAAAATTATAGGGTCTTTACCTTGGATTAGAAAGCTCCTTGAGATGGCTGCTGCTATTAGCATTAAGATGTTGAAATCACTTAGACCAAATCATTCAACTCTTTCAAATGTGCAGTGCCTCATTTTATTGTTCTTGGCAACCTCCGCCTGCAAGCCCTCAGTCCTCACTGTTTTCTTCTCCATTTGTTCATAGAAACCCTAAAAATAGCTCTGTGAAAAGTATGGAAAGCTACTGTGCTTCCTGTTGGGAACCGTTGCAAGTTTACTGAACAGCATGAGTTCAAAATGACTGGGAGCCTGAGGGGATGGTAATGTGAATACTTCATGGCCTCTACACAGTGCCAGCACATTGATTCTTAGATTACAGTGACCCCTAATGTGATTATCGTGCTCCTCTGCCAGTCAGTCACTCAAATCTGGCAAATTAACCTTTATTGATGGCTTTCGGCCATAAAGCCATCAAGGACTTTATTCTTGTAGCAATTCTAAATCCTATAGGAAGGCTTTACACTGTTAACATTAAAACAGTAAGAGTAGAACAAAACCACATTGACCATACCTGCAGTGGGTTTTTGGTTCTAATGGCCAACACCTGGTACTTAAAGTAGCAGAGCTCACAGCTCCAGGAGCCTCTCTCACTGATCCAGCGGATAAGGCAGGACTGGTGGGTACAGCGCACTGAGCCATCACAGCGACAAGGGCTCAGCAACTCCCCCTGCAGGATGAAACATTAAGTGCATGAAATAGCCTTTCACAGAGCCTCCTGTAGGGTAAAACTCCCACCGAATGAAGATTTGAGTCACACAGTTGACAGTAAAAATGGGAATAAAGATCTCTATCATTGATTTTGATTTTCACAGCTTTAACAATGTTCCTGTTGTGTTTTACCTGACGAAGACATTGTTTGAGGGCATCTCTGGGTCACAGACCTGTCTGGAGCAAGTACCAGCAGATAAAATAATTTACTGTTTCTGGTTGGCAAGAAGGGGGGTGGTAAATATTTGAGTTATGCCAGTGGGTTTTATAGGGTATGTGTGGCGTAGTTACAAATACCGTGAATTAAATCAAGACTGGACTCGTACTCCATTGCAGACGGCTGCAGACACCGTGGATGAATTGTTATTCTATATTATCTACAGGTCTGCTTTCAGGAAGAGTACACGGTTAGCGAGGCTGCAGTGTTGTGGTTGTGCTGGCTCAATCGTGGTCACTGCAAATTGGATGCATGTCCACTGAGATATACATCCACTGACCTGTCGATGTAGAACGTGTAAAGATACTTACAGTTGTGTTCTGCTTTAATATGGAGTTAAAAACTAATGACACTTGTTTTGCCTTGACTGATAAGCACTGCCTGTACATGTAACCTCACAGTGTTGTGTTATCTCTCTCAGTAGTGAACAGGATCCTGTAACTCCAGCCTCTCCTTTGGGAACCATCTTAGAGTTTGTTGACTCTTCCTACTCTTTCTGACAGCTTGGAGTGATTCTTTACTTGGCAAGCTTTGCTGGCATTTCATACTGAACATTATTTGGCTTTTTCAGCCTGCTGCTGTGCTGCTGATGCTTTGCTACTCTCTTTTTGTGGTGAAGTTATCAATAGCCAGTAAGGCTTTTTTTGTGGTTGTTGTTAAAAAAGGAGAGTTTTTGAAGAACTTCTAGGAAATTATTACTTATGGGAAGGTTTGTGGTTTGAACTTTGGCTCCTCCAGTCTGCATGTTGATCTATCCTTGGTAAATATACCAATGGAAATGGAATGGAAATGCAGTACATAGGGTTAAAAAACAGAGTTGGTATTGCATGGTTGGTCAAAATCTGATGGTACTGCATTCATAATTCCATCAATTTTGACCAAATCCCCAGCATCACCAGCTAAACCATGAAAGAGCCTCTGCTGTGTGTTACAAATGCCTGCAGACACTCACTGTTGTACCTTTCTCTCCTTTTTGAGCCTTTTTTTTTTATTAGTGAATGATTTATAGGTCAGTGTTACAAGGTTCAGCACACACAAACAACATTCCTCTGAAAATATTCAGGTACACGGACTGGTCTGAAAATGAGTGAAGGAGCAGCCAAAGTCCAAAAAAATAAGAGAAAAAGACAAACTTTGAAAGACCAAGAAAGCCTGGAGAACTATTGCTTAAGACCACTTTAAAAATGACAAATAAGTCTGGCTTCTTGGAAGAAAAAATTAAAGAAGCAAGAGGCGGCTCAAGATTTTTGCACAGTGTATAGTATATATGTGCTGCCTGCCTTAATATCGTGCGCTTAAGCGATTTCAAACATGAATTCACGATGACACTATGTGATATTCTTTGACTATATGCTTCCTAAGACCTTTATCTGAATACACTTACCTTTCTATACTTTGCCCTTAAAAGAAAGCACAGGATATCTGTTGCAGGTTTTCATTGTCAGCATGACTCCCTAAGGCCTTTGGACTGACAACACTCTTGCACATCTTCATTTATTTCCTGTCTGACTCTGGGTGACGTGCGAGGCCTTTAATTATGTGGATTTCTGGAGGCGAACCAAAAACTTTACGGACACCTCCAGCAGAGTCTGTCTGTGGGAGACACTTTCACTGTACTTTGACCTTCCTGTAACTAAAACACATGATCAAAGGTTTGATCCCTTCATTAATGGTTTCTGCTACAGAGTCAGAGTTATTAAACAGATACTGCCCTTCGAATCCCTTAAAATAACAATGAGCATAGATTGATTTATTTTCATGCTGAGAAATCCTTCTTAAAACCTTTCTTTATTGCTTTTTTAAAACAGCCTAATTTTGTGCATCAGATGCTGAATCTGTTTCCGTAAAGACTTCCCTACTTCACACAGTACATATAAAGCCCCTCCCTTTTCTCTGAGACTATTCTTAACTGATGCCCTTTGTCTGCCCACTGCTATTTTCAGATCGCTGTTGATAGATAGTTCCCCTATTTTAGTCTTACTCTCTCTGACTTCGTTCTCTCTCTCTTTTTTAAACTTCAGAGCAGATGTGATGCAGTCTTCCAGATACTGAAAACAAGTTGAAACTGATCTACAGTAGCTGACATGTTCTCCATGTGTTTGCAAAGGAAACACATGGAATCCTTACCACACCCATGGCACATAAAAGAAATCCTTACTGGTTTTACACATCAAGATTGCCTTAAAGGTCCTCGGGAGCACTTTTGCATTTGTGAAAAAAGATGTTATCACAGGTTATATCTGGCAAGCAATACAGAATTGTCTGTTGATGTACTCTCAGACTTTGGGGGCAGTGGGAATACTGAACTCCTTCATACCTGAGCATGAAAAATAGCCTTAGATTATTTGTTCACTCTTTTTAGTAACACAAGGAGACTATATGTATAGTTTCACTATGCAAACCTGAATTGACAGTATATTATGCTGAATCTTGACTCTTATGTGACTCCAGTAAAGGCTGAGGGGCTTTATTTGTGTGTGTCAGATGATACCACTCACTTACTAGTCCTCAGCAGCTTCAGGAATTATCCCCTGCTCCTAGCATTACACACCCAAATCTCTAACTGAGTTGCATTGTGGGTAATGTGCAACACTTTTGGAGTTTCAGTCCTCACTGGTAAAGTAAAAATCTGGAGATTTCACCCTCTGCAGCTTTATCGGCTGTTCCCTTATTTTCCAAGCAGATGGATCTATGTGTTTGATTTCTTGACACAACCTTTATAACGACTTGGGACGGGCATTAGAAGTACACTTGTTGTGACTTCCTGAGAACCAGGAATTGTTCACATTTCATGTAAATGTGTTAACCATTAGACCTGCTCCAGGTTTGACCATTCATTAAGTCTGCCTCTAGGTAAATCACACTCAAGTAAAGCATTTGAGTGCATAAAGAAAGAGCTTGAGTACACTGGGCTAAATGCAGCTCAGGCTGGTGGTAAACTTTAAAGATCTGGCTTCAACTTCTTTACTCTTTTGGACAATGAGTAAATTTTCTAAGCAAACGTTCTCCATGTATCCGGTGGAAACTTTTCTGAGCAACTTGTCTTAAGACAGTTTCTTCAAGTGATTAGAGAGAAGCACCATGAACAAGCCACTGCTAGAGGCTCCAGTTGTGTTTGTTCCTCCAGCACCAATACCTTCTTTTTTTCTAACTTTACCTTTTCTGGCCCCTGGAAGCAGATCCGGCACTGCGGTGATCGCGTCCCGCTCTCTGAGAGACTCGGGAGTGAAGCAGCATCCATGTTTCCTACTCCTCCTCCCTGAGGTTTGGCACCTTCTTTATCCTCAAACGCCAGGCTTCGTGGCCGGAGGTCAGAGCCATAGTACTCCTCCTCGTCGTCCCGCTGAGAGCAGCTCAGCTGTGGCCAACCACAGCCTCCAATAGCGAGCCCTCTCATCGTGGTCTGTGTGTTCGGGTCAGTGTCCGTCCTCCTGCTTGATCCAGAACGCATCAGTAGCAACACTTTGAGTTCATTAAAGAACATCCGGATGCGATACTTAAACATTCTTCAGCAGCTTTACTACACAGCCACAAACAGAGCAACCTTCAGCTTTACTGTCACAGTCCCTTCATTATTATTATTATTATTATTATTATTATTATTATTATTATTGTTGTTGTTGTTGTTGTTGTTGTTGTTGAGGTATTGAATTGATTCAAGTAGACAGTTCAAATCTTACTGAATAAAATTCAGATCTGAATTGAGAAAGCATGCGACTAACATGATAGGCTATTAGATCAGCCCATAGCTCTTTGCATATCCTGTTGTTATAGCATGTGCACCGCAATCCAGCCAATAGGGAAGGATTATTTTTCATGGACAGAGGCGTTTTCTTTCGGGATTCAATGGAGGCTGAGAGCCACGAACTGTGAGGCACAAACATTAAAGTCAGAGTAGTCCAGCAGCATCCTCTTACACGTCTCCATCCCGCTCGCTCGCTGATATCGCAAGGTTCAAACGGGTCATCTCGATGTTGTGAATCACAAGGAGCTGTCCGAGGTTTGCCACAGAATGTTTTCTTCTTCTTCGTGCGGAAACAGCGAGGGTGTCTGAGGTGTGGGGTTGATGCTGAATCCTATTACCAACTAAGTCCAATCCGATTTATATTTGAGTTTCTCATTTACCCACAGAGCGGGTAGAATTACACGAGGTGACAAGCGTGCATCCTTTGTTGTCTGGCAGTGGCATCCATCACTTCGCCACTCTTTCCTCCTGTTCGCTTTAGCCCTTTCCCCCCTCTCTCTCGTTCTCTGCTGTTACATCGGGCGGTGGGGGAGCTCGTCCCGCACTTTCTCCCCTTAAGCAGGTCCGACAGCCAGATTATAAAGTTAGAATCCAGCGGGGTTCAATCTCAGCGGAGAAAGCGAAGAAAATAACATCACATGAAAAAAAATCCTTTCACAGCAACTTGTAATGCCACTTCTTTTCCCGACCATCTCTGCGCCACAAATCAGGGGGAGCGAGAGGATGCCAGATATGGATTCCTGTGAACACAAAAAGAGTAGACCGCAACTGTCCCTTCCGGGTTGCTAAAAAAAACTGCACCTCCTCACTTATTTAGCAAATCATATAAAGACCCCGGAGAATAGGCGAGACAATGAAGTGCCACTTCACCTGACAGACTGTAGTATAGTGTCTCCTTCATCATAATCCCCAGGATGCTCAAATTCGATTTTCAGAAGTTTCGCATGCACGTCAGCTCAAACCACCCAAACTTCGTTATCTGTATAGTTTCCTATTTTAAAAAAAGACCTTTGCTTCTTGCAGCTAAGAAGAAATTATCTCCATCCTTCATTGGTGGTGTAGCTGCTGACTGTGGCTGCTGTCCAAGGTGCTGATATTCATGTGACGTTAAAGCCACGTGCTGTTATTCGTCTGCTGGTTGAGAAAAAAAGCAACTATTGTAATAGTCCAGTGAGTGAGTGTATGTGTGTGGTTGTGAGCTGTTCTGGTATTACCCATGTTGTGGGGACCTAAATCTACTCAAACAGTCAATTTATAGGGACGTGTCTTTCTTCTGGGGACAAAAAACAAAGTCCCCTCAAGGAAAATCATTGAATTGCATGGAGGTAATGAAATGTCTGCAGAAATCATGGAAGCCCAACAGTTTGCATGTGTGTCTAACAACCAGAACAAAAGCTCTCCAGGGTTGAAACAGTAGAAAGTGTGCATATAAGATGATTTAACAGATTCATCATTCACAGGAACATAACAACACAGCACAGATAATTGTTTCAGAGGAGAGAGTGTACGGTTTATTATTAAATAAATAAACATGCTCTCTGTTCTCCCATTACAAGAAGCAGCGATTGGGCCAGAGCAAAAAGGCAGATTCAAAAGATGGAATGTTTCACTAGAATGAAAAAGCTTTATTTATTATTTTCTCATGAGACTTAATCACAGGGGCTGGAGGGAAAACTAGAGTCAGTGGTGAGGAATCCACTGCAACAGAGGGAAAAGTGAGTTAGTTGTGGATGTGATTAGTTTTTACCTTTGTTCGGCAGATTTACGGGGGTTCGACAGGTGCTTCCAGGAGCAGAGAGGAAGCTATGTAAGTGATGTGATCTTGAGTGATACTTTCTTCAGTGATCGATTAAGGAATGTACTGCATTACTTTTAAGAAAAATAACAAATAAAATGTTATTTATTACTTTTTTTGAGTAACAACCCCCAGTACTATTTACAGCACAGTGGTGAGTTTTAGCTTAAAAATACAATGTGTTATAATAAAAACTGTAAAAGTATATTTTGTGAAAGGAAGTCTAAAAATCGCCCTGATTGGTGATCTGTCCACAGTGTCCCTGATAGCTGGGATAGACTGTTTTCTTACAGTCGTGTAGAGAGAACTGAAGCATGTCTGCATGGACTCTGAGAACATCAGTGTGTCGTCTATTCGATGTGACAGGGACCAAGAGTTTTGACTGCACAGATTGCAATGAATATTTTGAGCCATAGGTCTTGGAGCTGAACAAGTAGATGCAGTCAGACTGCTCGGTAATGTCCTAAGTATAAAGAGGTCATGTAGTGAGATCAGGAATTATTACTCACATTTATTATAAATCACATTTTTATGACACAAAGTTTGTTTTAGCACATTCAAGCTCACAGCTGCCACACTTTCACCCAAACCTCACCTAAAACAACTGCAAGGCTTCTGTGTAGGTGCAGATGTTGTGGTATTTATTTAGACTACATGAAACTGTGCGTGCAAATGTGCATTTGTCATTATTTATTTTGGTATTAAATAATTTTTTAATTTATGGCTTTATGTGTTTCTTAAAGCAGCCAATGTTTCCCATTTTGACAGCGTCGCACGAAGATACAAAGCTGTCAAGAAGGCATGATTTCATTACCTGGTAAGGTGACAGAAGAGCTTCTTCAGAGTTTAATTGGCACCGTTTGTGTTCCAGTTTAACCAAACTATCTCATTTACATCAGCTGATTGTGGAGGCCAGGTCGTCTGATGCACCACAACACCTGGAGGCTGTGTAAGGGCCACAGGTTCACCTGGTCTGTGATACATAAAGCCATGGTAGCTGGAAACATAAATCTAATTGGACCAAAGCACATACTTTGGTCTTCAGTTCAGCTTGTGTTTCTTGGCCCAAGCAATTTTCTTCTTATTATGGAGCTCCCTGGGTAGTGTGTGCTATTTGAACTGTGGGAAGCATTGGGCTGTACTCTGAGGTGCTAGTAATAGGCTATTTGAGGCTGGTAACCAAACTTTCATCAGCCATTGTGACATGAAATAGTAGGCAAGCACGGGTGTTGCTAATCACATTAATGAAGGTTCAGTTATTTTTAGGTCCAGAAGTATCTTTAATGTGATTAGTAACATCTGTGCTTACCTACTACTTTAAGTCAAAATGGATTTTGTGAAAGCAGACTGTCATACTGAACAGTTTGACAGTTCCTTTGATTTTATAGAACAAAGGATCTTCTTATTGAAAATGACATAAACCTCCTTAAGAAGTAAATCAATCATTTGAAGAAGGAATATAGAGAAAAGTGATCCTTCTTAAAAACATAAGAAGTCTAGTCTGAGGTGATGAAACAAAGCAAAAACAAATAAACAAAAATCAACAACTAGACAAATTATTCCAACGAGATAGAGCTTCTTTTTTTTTAAACCTTACTTAGATACAGAGAAGACATGAAAGAAACACTGATGACTTGCTTTTTTCAAGATGCAATTAATACAAATTCAGTTTAGAGTAGATTATGATACCCAAATATTTTTTTTGTCCTTTCAAAGTGTTCCAGCACCATTACTGGTTAAAGCAAAAGATTTTGATTAGAGGTCGAGGTTGTGCCTCTTACTAATGAGCACTCAGTAAGGTTTGTATTTATTAAGCAGTAGTTTGTTTGCTCAAATCTACATTTGTAGAATATTAAAACTGAATTGCAGTGCTTCTTGAACTTGTAAAACCTTTTTTAAAATATAATACTGTTATCTGAATAATTTGTGTTTTAGAGTTAGCAGAAAAATAAAGGTTCAAATCATTAATAATATCAGAGAAAAGAAACGGTTTCAAGGTAGAACCACGAGGCACCCCTCACTGCTGTAATCAAATCTGATTTGCACTCATGCAAAAGAACAGTGCTTTTGATTATGCTTAAGTGTAGCTGTGAAAGATTAAGTAGCTAAATAAGAAATTAATAATAATATACTTAATTATATGAGACTAATAATATAAACATTAATCCAAATTATGAATATAATTATTAATCTGGAAAGCCCTCTGTTATATCACAAATATCATAGATTAAATGTTAATGTTAATGTATGAATGTCACAAATTGCTCTGTGTAGGCAGTAAAGGCCCCAAATGCAAACCCGCGGAGACGAAAAGTAAACTCAAAAAGAACACAGCTTTATTGTCAGCGTGGTGGTTATACAAACAACAACACAAAACTAAACTAGGAAAAACCAACGCACGAGGAGCCACAGCGAGACTCACACAGCTATGAGGGAGGACGCAACACTGAACACAGGAAGACTGAGGACTTAAATACACACGAGGTGATCAGGAGAAGTGGCAACACGTGCAAACAGCTGAAACAAATGAACACAACAATGTCACAGGGGAAGTGTAAAACTAAACACTACGAACACAGGAACAAAGGACCTCTTCAGAATAAAACAGCAAATATGATGAAACGCAGACATGACTACATGAACTTGACGACAAAAGACATGCAGACATAAAAGACATGGGAGACTTAACACAGGGGTTGAAAACACAAGGGGAATCTAATAAACAAATGAAGAAAACCCAATGAACTTAAACATGACCCATAAACATCAAAATAAACTAAAACTCAAAACACTGGGTTAAAAGACCAGGGATCATGACAATGAGCTGAAGATGGTCTTGTTTTTCCTATTATACAGGTTATTTGTTGTGTACTGAGTACCTGATGGCCCAAAAAAACAAGAAAGAAGTTTCAATCTGAACAATCTGAACAAGACTTACGTGAAAATCATCTCGGGTTAAAATATTTTAGTCATACAGAGTGTATAGAGCTTTCAGTGAGTCAAAAAATGGCAGCTTGGGAAATTTCTAAATATGGTAAATGGCCTGTATTTATAGCGCTTTACTAGTCCCTAAGGACCCCAAAGCGCTTTACATATCCAGTCACCCACCCATTCACACACACATTCACACACTGGTGATGGCAAGCTACATTGTAGCCACAGCCACCCTGGGGCGCACTAAAACATATTTAACTTTGTCTACATTTTTTTAGCAACGTAGAATTCAACTTGTGTTACTTTTTATGTATTTTCTTAACTGCAGAAAACACAGGTGTAAATCTTGAAATGAATAATTAAGTTATATATGTCAGGTAGAGATACGGTTTTCAGGGGAATTGTGGGGGAGAAAGGTCCTCAGATATTAATAGCACTTGCATTTTTCAGTGATAATATTAAACTTTAATCATTTAGAATAAGTACTTTTTAAAAAGAGATACAGAATGCATAAGAAACCTAATGCATCATACTGTAGTGGTCTGTATGTGGAGTATTTACCTGGTGTCTGAGCTTTGTTTTTCAAAATAAAGGGGTGGTGAGATGAAAAGTCCAGAGATGCCTGAAACCCTAAGGAACAACTTTATTACCAGACAAACGTGTTTCGGCTTGTGGCCTTCATCGGGGTTATTACAAAACACCAAACAGCTTGTGCTTAATTTAAAGTAAAACAACAGAAAATAAAAAAACAAATGAACCAATCAGCCACTCACACATAAACATAATCATTAATGGGGATGATGATTGTTCAAATATGCTCTGGACTGAACCATTACAGGATAAGGTGACTGGATGTCACCTTATACATGTAAAAGTGGGTCATTCCCACAGGTGCATAAAAAATGCAAACAAGATAAAAACTATACATAACAATCACAGGAACTCTAAGAAATGAATTCCATGAACTAAACAACAACAATTTGCATCACAATTTTTTAGAGACATTTTTTCAGAGACAAAAATAGATCGAATCACAGAAACTCATTAATAGCTAGATCTTCATTCATACCTTTGGGAAATAAACTCTTTAAATGGAATATCTAGAATGCCTCTCACTTTTCTCTGATGAAATTGATATAACCAGCTCTTTGACTGAGCTTGATGGCTTCAATGCCTATAAAGAATAAAGATGAGCTACAATGTTTTTCATTAAAATTTCTTGCAACAGGGCTGGTAAATCATTTCTCTTAATAGAACTTCTCTGTTTGTTAATTCATTCTTTCACAGGACAGGGTGTTTTGTTGCATGGACACCGTATCATGTAGACCACATTTTTAGTTTTGCTGGTAATAAAGCTTTTTGCATCAATAATCTTGCCACTTGGTTTTACATTTTTGAGTATTCTCAATGTATGGAAGACCCACAGTTAAAATGACCTTGTAGGTTATGAGTTGCCAGGTGCTGTTTCTGGGGTTTAGAATCACAAAAAGCTCGAGTAACCCTATCCCTAATGTTTTTATCATTGGCTGTTCAATAAAAATCTCCTGTAAATTCAAAGGATGTGCCAATGTTTTAAAATTATTTCTTTAATGTTCCTGGTTTTTGTTGTAATGGTTGTGCAAAAAACAAGATTTCATTTGGGTTTTGGAGGTTTCTTAGTTACCAGATAAAACTTTCTGTTTTTTGAGTCCACCTTATTTTCTGCAAATCTTAGCCAGTCCTCTTTGTCATTTTTATAACATCTTTTCTTTGCTGTAATTATATTGTTCAGGAATTTCACAAATGCATTTGAATCTAATAACTTGGCTTACAGGTAAACCTTTTTTGAGGCTGAAAACTTGCAGCGTGAAGTAATGTATTTCAATAGGTTTGGATTAAAGAGAGGTGGACAGATATTTGTCTTTTTTGGTTACTATTATGCCAAAAAGGTTAATTTCTTTACTACTATGAACAAGAGTAAAACATCAATCTGCAAAGTGTTCATTTAAAAATCGTACAAACTCCAATACTGTGGAGACTGATCCCTTCCAAAATAAAAATGCATCATCTATGTACCGTTTCCAAGACATGATGAATGGTAGACAAGGATTTTTTTGGTGGTCGTATAAAATTCATTCTTCCAGATGGCCAACAAGTAAACAAGCAAAACTAGGTGTCATTTTCGTGCCCATTGAAGTGCCAGAAATTTGAAGCCATAGTGTGTCATTATAAAAGAAATCACTCCTCTTCAGAACAAAAGCAGCCAGCTTAATTAAAAAGGAAGTAGATGGTGATTTTGTAGGCCTGTAGGTGAAAATGTTCGACTGACTCTTTGTCTTTGAGGCTTTGTTGTTTTTTCACAAGGATGTAACATCATTCATTGGTGGGAGGTATTTGAAAAGAAGCAGGAAATGAGAGCTGTCTTTTATGTAGGAGTTCAAGGTCGGTACGAAATCTTACTATGGAAGCCTACAAAAGTTGATATTCACTCGGTTAAACTTCAGGTGGTTGTTCTAGATTTCTGTGGATTTTTGGAAATATATACAAAAAGCTTTTAAAGGATGTTTACTGAGTAAAAATGTTTTTTCCTTCAGAGAAATTTCACCATAGAAGAGGTCAACAAGGAACGGCTGTTTACAGCTTATTTACTTGTGACCATTGTGACAATGGCACCTTCTTTCTTATATGCTTTAAATACAATTATTTATCCTGTCCAAGCTCTATTACTGCTTTCTGTTGATCATTTGTTAAATTATTTAAGGGAAATCAAGTTCTGTGAGTCTACAGTATGTATCTATCACGTGATTTCTGTTCTCAGTGGGACAAAAATTACTTTTAATATTAAAATCACTTCATTTTGACAAGACTCACTTCTCATTAAAAATTCTCTGACGTTTTTACAGCTCTTAAAAACAAGTTCAAATGGACTTACAGAAGGAGTTGGCACAAAAGAAAGACGAAGTTCAAGCACTGATAGTGGAGATGGGGGTTCCAGGGGACGAAACATTTTGCCCAAAAAAGGATGTCCAAGGTGGCTGGAGAATTTACATTGAGTCTTTTTCTTGTTTGGAGTGGTTGAAGGGAATCTTTGCTTGGATGTGTGCGTCATTAAACCAAACTTTCTGTTCTGTTGGGCGTGGTTCAGTGATGGTGGAAGTATTGGTGGTTAAATTGTGAGCGTCTTTGGACCACGGATATTTAAATCCCTCCTTATAGTCGTTCTAATCTCTGAGGAATTCTGGATTTTTTTAGGTCTTTTATTTCTTTTTCACATTCTGTTAGTCTTATATCAGGTTCCTCCATTTGTTTTAGTGCATCATTATTATCTCTTGTCAACACTTCCAGGTACTGTTCATTCTTTAATATTTCATTTTGTATCTTACTTTCTTTCTCATTCAAGTACTTTATAGTAATAGCCATCAGCCAAATGGCTTTCACATATAGTCGAAACACATAATAAAGTTGTTCCCTAGTGTTTCAAGTGTTGCTGTAGTTTTTATCTCACCAGTTCTTTATTTTTCTCCAAGCACCTTGGAAAAGGTGAAGT